GAAGCCCGATCGCTACCGGCTTCACGGGTTTGCTGGGCAGCCTCCAGACCCTGCGCCCCTGGCTGGGCGCTTCCCCTCCCGGGCTCCAGCTGCACTGGGGAAGCGCCGGCCGGGGGCGCAGGGTCTGGGGGCTGCCCGGCAAACCGTGAAGCCGTAGCGCTCGGGCAGCCCTTTTCGCGTGGCTGGGAGTGGGAGGGAGGACGGGGCGGAGGTAGGGCGGGGTTGGGGTGGGAAAGGGGCGGAGTTGGGGCGGGGCTGGGGAAATGGGCGGGGCCAGGGCCCGTGGAGGGTCCTCTTTTTTTATATTTATATATATTTTTTGCTAAATATGGTAACCCTAATTGAGCTGGTCGGAAAAACATTGATGGAACCATTTCCCATGGAAGAATGCTGTTCTGTCGAAATCAAAATGCTCCGCAAAACTGCGTTGATTTTTACTGAAATTTAATTTTGGAGAAAAACTGGAGAAAGGTGTGTTGGAATTCCCTTGAAGAACTCTTTCCACTTGACTTATCAAGAACCCTGCTCTACTCCAGACTTTGTCACTCAGATATTTTTACTTGGCATACAGCAATGCAAAGCTGAGTTGATCAGACTCAAATGCAAGGATGGGTAGGGCACACCACACACTCAAAATTACCCAGCAAACCACTTCCTTTATATACAGTTACACTTTACATTGCATTTACTTGCATTACACGTTTTGGGTTTGGTTTGGTTACGTTGCATATCCTGTCCATATATTGTTATTCTTGTTCCTAGTAAATGTTTCTCTGGGTGTTCTCCCTCTTATCTTAGAATGTCTGAGCCAGCTATCTTTTTAGCCTAATGACCTATTTACTTATCTTATTTCGTACAAATGTTCGGTTTTCAACCTAAATGATCTCTTTAGCTCCCTAATCCTATCCTCCAAGAAATGTTGAGGTCTCCCTCCAGGTGTTAGTTACTCATGCCAGGCCAGGCCTCATCAACAAGGTGTTCCAACAATGTTAAAACATTCCATTCTGACACTTTTTAAACAGATTTATTTCAATTTTTCATTTTGAAATAACTTTGTCTTGATTTTTTATTCTGTATTATACTATACGTTATCAGATTTTTAAGTCAAAATTAAAACAAAACAATGTTGTCTAAATGAAACATTTCAGTCAATGTAAAGTAAGGAGTTCTTTGTAATTTTCCTTTCTAGAGAATTTTGAAACTTTCAAGTTTCATTCCAATTTGGAACAAAATGAAATTTTGAATTATTTTGAAAGGTTTCAGAGTAGCAGCCGTGTTAGTCTGTATCCGCAAAAAGAAGAACAGGAGGACTTGTGGCACCTTAGAGACTAACAAATTTATTAGAGCATAAGCTTTCGTGGACTACAGCCCACTTCTTCCATTCTATATGCATCCGAAGAAGTGGGCTGTAGTCCACGAAAGCTTATGCTCTAATAAATTTGTTAGTCTCTAAGGTGCCACAAGTCCTCCTGTTCTTCTTTTTGTGAATTATTTTGGGAAGCCCAATGTCCATCCCCTGCATAATTCTATTATTTATATTTAAGTAGGTGCTGAAAGGCCCCAGTCAGGATCAGGACCTCATTAAGTAGAGTGCTGCACAAACACATTGTAGAAGGGCAGTCCCTGCCCCAATGAGTCATTTTACATTTTAATTATATTATATATATCTATATAGATAGATAGATATAAGCAAATCTATGTAAAAAGTCTACCAAACAAAACATCCATTGAGATTAAGGCAACTATGATACCAAATAGCAAAGATTTATATTCCAGCTTGACACCCTCTTCTTCTGAATCTGCTGTGCCTAAGCCAGTGTTTCTGAACGGATTAATCAGAAAGGAAATCAGGGGCATCATGAGATGTTGAAAATTTTATTATAATCTAAAGCAAAGAAAATCTCGCTCCTCCACTCCCCACACACCCTTACCCTTCAAGGGAAGCATTCTCTGTCAGCCTTTCAGGACACACACAAATAAATTATATGGGCTTTGTTCTCATTGATATACTTTGATGGTAAATATAAAATGGTTTGGTGTTTGTTTGTTTACTTTGAATAAGTGGTTGCCAACTTGAAAAGATTGTGAAACACTGGTTTAGGCTATGTGCTATTGTAATCCACACACTGTCTGGGTGTGGTGTTCTGTCCCATCTAGTGGCACCGAGACCACTTAGAGAGAATTAAATGAGTCTGGTCTACAGCCTTAGTTAAGGGACAGTTGGCTTTTAGCTTATCCTGTAGAGGCTCATGCACTAAGCTCCAAAAGTCCCAGGTTCAATCCCTCCACCGACAACCGGGGTTCATTGGTGTTACACTACGTCTTCCCGGGGATCTTCTTAAATCAAAATACTGAGACCCAATAGCGAAGCACATAAATGGTGTTCTTTGTTAGACTGTAAGCAACGTGGGGTAGAGAGCTTATCTCAGTCTTTGCGTGAAACTGCACTTTAGCCCCTCTAGAAATAAATAATAATTCATCATGTTTTCACTGTGGACTACATTGTGGTGGGTGGTGGCACAATGAGGGGGGAGGAACCTCTTCATGCTTGTGTGGCCTGTGTACAGGCTAGCCAGATTTGCAGCTTCTGGGAGGCATGCAAGTGTCTGAGAATAGAACTTGAGCCTTAGATAGTTTTACTTCCCTTCCTCCAAGTGCAGGACTCTCTTACCTTTGGAGTAGCAACACGCAGATGCATCCCAAATTTAGCAGCACTCATCAGGATGGAATTCAGGACATTGTTTCCATCACCAATCCAGCTTATTGTGAGCCCCTTCAGATAGCCATAGTGTTCCTGACAAGCAAATAACAATACCACAGTTATGATTTTGGAGATTCGTCAAACAAGTGGCAATAGGTGCCAGGAGTGGTGACAACACTAGGCTGAGTCAGTGTAACTTTGCCACCTTCCGTTATGAGCAGCTGTCATGTGTGGAGCATTGCTTTGATCAAACCTGTAGCAGTCACAGGATGGTCACTCCAGAAACAAGCAATAAGACTTTACAAAGCTGAACAGAAAAAAAAAGCATCCTACAGCTGAACTTAAATCTAGGGTTACCATTCGTCCGGATTCCCCCGGACATGTCCGGCTTTTTCGGGTTAAAAATA